CGGATCGCGTTGCATTGGAAATTCAGAGCAATTTGGTCGAGTGCGCAACCACTGTAGTTCCAACGTCAACTCAATTCCGTCGACTCTGCCTCCCCAAACGTTCGTACAGCAAGCCTCAACATCGGGTGGTGCCCGTGGAGCTATGTGCGGGCACTGCCACCCTAGACACAATGTAATAATCAATTCATAATGTGCAACACCGAGTCAATCTACTGCTGGATGGAGGCCCTCATCCGGCAGTGGAATGGGGGGTGAAGGGGTGGGGTCCAACTGGTTTAGTTCTGGCTCTCACGACAGCCCTGGCCAGCAATCGAACTCGGGTTGCCGATTGTTCAGCGTCACGTGCGAACCGCTGCGCCACCGCTCCGTCGCAAAATGCAGCGTCGTCATCGTTATCATCCGCCATGGTCAATCCGCTGCTGGACGAAGGCCTCCCCCCAGAGCTGTCGCCATCTTTCACTATATCCTGCGATGCAGTAATCCACCAGGACCTGCACAGGAGCGAATTCCATCGCTCCATCTCCGTGGTGGACATGCCCACAGATGCACTCCATCCCTTGTCTGCCACTCCGTTGTTATCCTTGACCAGCGGCCATCATCACTTCGAGCGACGCGTCTTGCCCAAGCTACTGGGCGCCATGGTGGCGAGATGTTAATTACCTCGCCTGGTATACAGGTCGTGGGTTCAATCCCGATCCTCACGCCTGCTGTATATGTGGCAGTTTGCATGTCTCTCTCTCCGTGGTCGCATGGAATTTTCTCCGGGTCCTCCGGTTTTCCCCTCCACATTTAGAATCAACAGAAATTGGCCGCTATACATTTCCGCATGACAAGCCACTTCGTTGAGCATTAATTTGTGGGCAGGTCGCTTCTGAAAAAGAGCTATATAGCTCAGTGGGCCTCCCCTGGTAAAATACAATCGTAACGGTACTTACTTTTCTTAGCAGTAAAATCCAGCCGTGTCAATCAAGTGCTCGTTGAGCTGCATTGGCTTCTGGTTGCCGAACGAATACATTTTGAGGTCGCACTCATTACACACAGAAGCGCTCGCCACAAATGAACCGCGCTACGTTTCTGATCTCGTCAAGGAGCCTAACCCATCACGCGAACTCCGGTCATCCTCGCAGCGGCTTTTGGCGAACCGTCGAACAAAGCGGTCGCCGCATCGTGCGCGGCTTTCGGATGCGCGTCTGCCGGATTCTGGAACACCCTTCCGTCCGATATTTGGAAGCCACTGGAGTTATGCACTTTTAAATCTGGATTGAAAACGCAGTTCTTGAGCATTACTTGTTGTGTTTAGTTTGTTGTCCTTCCCAAGCAACTCCAGTTAGCACGGCTGGCTACGTACGGTGCAAAAAAAGTTCAACATACATACAATGATGTCTTTGACTTGCGCATGTCCACTACCACCGGGGTAAGATGTGCCCAATGGGAATGGCGACACATCCACTGCCCTGACAGAAAACCCAATGAGCATTACATGCAGGACCACGAGGTAGGTGGATGGGTGACCTTGAGCAAATATGAACGTGTGTTTTTGTTTTCTTGGGGAAGAGAAGACGTAAGAGAACTGGTTTATAATACACTACGATCCCGTTCAGTCGGGTGGCCTCGGTGTAAACATGCAGCTTGACATTTTTTCTCCAGTCACAATCCTGTTTTAAGTTTCAAACAACATGTGAAAACTTGTACAAGAAGCACTCAGCCTTTTGTGCATTATGCATACAACCATCAGCAGTTCATGGAGCACTGCATTGTGGTCCTCTTGACTTCGGTCAACATAAAAAATAAATGAGAAAATGTGACCGACTGACAGGCATCAGTGACAGACTGTAGATCAGTTTCAGCACGAGTATGACCCATCAGTACGGTATAGTCCCAAACGCTCACTTCCACCAAATTTCCCTGTGGGTAAATTACACCCAACATTGCCTCTTAAGTTTCATACTCTTTGGTTCTTTCGGTAAAGTCACGTAGGTATAAAATAAAATAGATCACGACGTTTCGGGCGCAACACAAGTGTCTGTCATCAGGTGGGAAAGCATGGTCTGCTGCTGATGCAGACTGTTTTAAAAGGTTTGAAATGGGTGTAGCCCAAGGGTCATAAAGGAGTGGCTGGGTCGATTTAATGTGAGAAATTATCATGTAACTGGGCACGGAAGTGGCTATGTTAATGTGAGAGATTATCATGATGTTAAAGTGAGAAATTAGCATGTAACTGGGCACGGAAGTGGCTATGTTAATGTGAGAGATTTGCATAAAATGACAGTTATTTGGTGTTATACAACTGTCAAACCTGACCTTTTGTCTGAAAGCTGCCAGTGTGGAGACAGGTGTACATACAGTTTGTATGAAAACATAATCCAAGTGGCAGTCCTGGTAGTCTCGGTTGCTCGAGTGGCGATTCGAGTTATAGTCTAAAAACGTCTCCGTGGTGGTCGTAGTGGTCGCGATGGAATATCATCCGTTATCCCAGTTGTGAGTCCCAGATGTGAACCCTGATACCACTGGGCTGGCATTGACCAGAATCACCAATGACACGTATTAAATAGGCACAGGACATATGTTGCAATGGCAATTCTACTTGGGTTGCCTAGGGCCAATTGGCCTTCTTGACTCCGTGCAGCCCAGCCTCCGTACCGATTCCGCGATTCTACCGATGCCCCTAGGAATCGAATGCGATCCCAGTTGCAATCCTTATTGCCGAGACTGGGAAGTCACACTTCGATCTCACTTCATGAGAAATGCTCAGCTCCACTCCCCATGTTGTTACCCTCCCTCGCAGTCTCACGGTGCAATACTCCACCATCTCGCTCCTGTACGTGAATCAACCTCCATCGAATAAACGATATACATGGTATGTATATACATGTTACGTATATCGTTTATTGTTAAATTTGAATCACAGTTCCTATGATCACTGTCACATTGCTTTTATAGCTTGGTTTTGGTGATTTCGAAAACGTTTTGGTTTAGCCATATTTGTTAGTTGTAGTACAGAGTTAGACTGATACCTTCAATCTAAATTGTCTTGTGGTTGTTATTGTTTGACTTGCATCCCATTGGGATTTTTGCACACAGCGTTGATATACGGTGCTTTTTTCTGGAAGACTTTGCTGTTTTTTCCTAAATTGTTCTATTGCGCGTAGTCACTTTAAGATGTTTCTTGTTCATGTTTTTGTTTATTGCGGTTGCACCCGATTCAAGAGCCGAATGGCTCTGTGGGTAAATTGCTGCAGCTCTGCGGTTGTCGTACTCTCGAGCGTGCTCCCCTCTTTTGGCCGACGATCCGCCACCAGTTTCGTCTCGTGATCTTCTTGCTCTTCTTTCGTATGGCTGTTGATGTCGACGCAAAGCAGCAACTACAATTCGGGTGGTCAAGCCAGATGACCGCGTCAGCATTAGCGGAGTCGATCGCTGTGATGTCTCCTTGTTATATTCGGATTGTGCATTGCATCGTTACACGTTGTACGGTCTGTTCTGAATGTCCACAATCGCACACTGGACAGTTTTTAATTTTACATTTTGCGCATCGGGCATCCGCATCTGCCATGGTGTGTGCAGTGGATGCGATTCAGGGTGGACCGTGAGCTACGTGGAAGACCAAACACAGCGGATCTTCTGCGTTGGGTCTTTCACGAGGTGTCGTCGTTTTTTTTTGCGAGTTTTTTTGAACTCCATTCGGCTCACCAGGCTTCATCGGGGGTTTAATTCTCATTGTTGAGGTTAAGCGCATGGATCCAAAAGGGCTTGCGAGACTTCAAGCAAAGAAGAGTGTTGTCGATGTGTCCTGCCAAGTCACGTAGAAGGGAAATAATAAAATGATATAAATATAAAACAATAGAAATTCTCACGACGTTTCGACTGCAACACAAGCAATCATCATCAGCAATCATCATCAGGTGTGAAATCCACAGCAAGAAAATGTTCTTGCTGTGGATTTCACACCTGATGATGATCGCTTGTGTTGCAGTCGAAACGTCGTGAGAATTTTTATTGTTTTATATTTTTATTATTTTATTATTTCCCTTCTACGTGACTTTACCGAAAGAACCAAGAATATTAATCCCTGCAGTAACGAAAGCTTTAAATCAAAATCTCTCATTTGCATTCATGTTTTTGACACACGTGTTCCCATTTCTGTCTTGCCAGTTTAGTTCGCAGCAAGTAACTAACTACCCATACCTCTTTAGTGTACTTCTCAGTTGTTGTTCCACTGCCTTTATCACTGTCCACGTCTCGGTTCACATACCACAGCAGGCAATATCGCCTATTGACGCTGTTCCTCTGCGGGTGCGTTGGTATGCTGCTTTTCATTACTACATTCAATTCGTAGATTTGTACCGTTACTGAATGCACTTAAATACTCTCAAGTGTAAAAAAACACCATACTTTAGATGCGGCACATACTTAGACGAATGCGATTCATTTATTAATTAAATACTAAGACATTAAAAAAACAATATAAACACAAGGCACCAACGAAGAGCGCCATCGAGACTCACAGAAGAAGACGGGAAACGTGACGAATGAGGAAGACACCGGACTGCGTACGCACGAGACCGAAGACAGCACCGACAGAATCGTGGGAGATCGCGGAAAACACGCGTCGACGCAGCTCTTCCGAGTTATACTCTCAGTTTTTTCGGCAAATTCACGTAGGTAAAAAAATGAAATGAAAATTATTAAAAATAAAATAATCAAATTCACGACGTTTCGGGGGCAACACAAGTCTCCGTCATCAGGTGGGACCGTCACAGCCAGATTTGCTGTATCAAGTGAGGCAGGGATTGGAACAGCCAGATTTGGTGTATCAAGTGAGGCAGAGATTCCAAGATGCAAGTTCTTGTTATCGTGGCATCTTGGAATCCCTGCCTCACTTGATACAGCAAATCTGGCTGTGACGGTCCCACCTGATGACGGAGACTTGTGTTGCTTCCGAAACGTCGTGAATTTTATTATTTTATTTTTATTAATTTTATTTTTTTACCTACGTGACTTTACCGAAAAAACTTAGAGTATGAATCCTTGCAGTCACGAAAGCTTAAAACCTATAATCTTCCGAGTTACTCTGGTAACCGCGCAAATATTCCTCCGAAAGAAAGTTGAACTTACTTCTAACAAACTACCGTCGCAAGAACTTTCAGATAAATATTTCGGACAATTGTTGGTGGGTGTGGGGGGGGATGTGATGGGGGGGAATTAACCGCAATGTCTCCATTTTCAAACTTGTGAAACTAACCGCTAATTCTATTTTTGGTGTCCTCTGGTCTAACACCATTTGAGACGAGGCTCCAAAGAAAGCTGTCTCTGGTGTGGACCAATCAGTTTCAAGGACAATGCATATATTATCAGAGTATGTTTTTTGTTTGCATTCTGACCACAAGTATTGTGGCTAATGCAGACATGATTCCTTGTAAAAGGTTTCAGTTTAGTGTTTTAGCCATCTTAACACCTGTTTTGTTACCAGAAAAAAGTGGAAAACCCTATTCTGATGTTTGTGTTGTTTATAAATTACTTTCAAACGGATACCTCGGCGGAGAGCGTCTTTTGGTAATGGCTCTACGAATAATAACGAGAGGTGTCTGTGTGTTGTGCGCAAAACACCCACAACCAAGCGAGCAATGAGCAACTTCCCCCCCCCCCCAATATTAAACATTTAGAGCTGAGTTTGCAGCGAAAAAATACCATTGCGTCGGTGACAAAAAAATAAAGGAAGCCAAACATTTTTTTGCTAAATTTGTTGCAGAAGTTTTCAGATTCAATTAGGTTGCTGGGCATACTGGGTGCCGTTTTAAAATGCCGAGCAGCTCAGTGAAATACAGAAAACATGTTTCATTACAGTACCTTCGGTTTTTGAAAAGGCTCCGCACATAAGCTTTAATTATGCAAGTGGTGTGGGATCCTTCTTCTGGAAAGACGCTGAATACGCGTTTGTTCATTTGGTGAGTCACCAACATGCTCCGGCTCGGGCATTGTTGAACTCCATCCTCTGTGCCGGGCATCCGCACCTCGGATAAGCACGGTTGGCTACGTACGGTGCGAAAGAAGTTCAATGTACGTACGTCCTGTGCCAGCCACCCAGTTCAATTGCATCCGAGCCAGGGAGTTGTCGGTGACCAGTGACGATAACAAGACGTTTGCGCGAGTTCTTAAGTCTCGTATTTGTCCGTGCAGGAGCGTACATCCCTTGGTGTACCCCGGTGAGCATCGTTCATTTGTCTGATTGCGAGTGGCCCTCAAACTGCCCACTCAGACAAACTGCCCGCTCAGACAAACTGCCCACTCAGACAAACTGCCCACTCAGACAAACTGCCCGCTCAGACAAACTGCCCGCTCAGACAAACTGCCCGCTCAGACAAACTGCCCGCTCAGACAAACTGCCCGCTCAGACAAACTGCCCACTCAGACAAACTGCCCATTCAAACTGCCCACTCAGACAAACTGCCCGTTCAGACAAACTGCCCGCTCAGACAAACTGCCCACTCAGACAAACTGCCCGCTCAGACAAACTGCCCGCTCAGACAAACTGCCCGCTCAGACAAACTGCCCGCTCAGACAAACTGCCCGCTCAGATAAACTGCCCGCTCAGACAAACTGCCCGCTCAGACAAACTGCCCGCTCAGACAAACTGCCCACTCAGACAAACTGCCCATTCAGACAAACTGCCCGCTCAGACAAACTGCCCGCTCGCGTCACCCGAAGGCTGCGCGAGGATTTGCCGTCCTTGTCCACAACAACAAAACCGCAACAGCCGCCACCAATTGGCGGGGACGCCACCACGGCGCTTGTGCCAGGCCAGGTGCACTCCGAGGCCGCGTGAAGTGTCGAAGGCTCGTTCGCAGGTCATGGGATGGACCACGTGAACAGCCCTTGTTGTCAATCCGCTGCTGGATGATGGCCTCCCCACGTCGTGCAGGTCATACAAGTGTTATTTGCCCATACTTCACCGCACTGATCGTTGATTTTTTCTGCTTGCGATGAGAACCAACGACACAGCCATTCCAGGCTATGCCAGGTGTATTGTTGCCAACTTAATAAAGGGAGGATATATTCAATACGCCGGAGCATTTATGGGGATGTAACACCTCAGTAGTTTTAAATGGGCTGGCAGTCAAGCACGAATAGCCTTCTGCATTACCAGCACAGCTGTCGACTGCATTTGAACCATATTCACCACAACAAACCAATCTATATTCGTTTACAGTTAAGCAACAAATATTCATCACGTTTAACCTACGCACGCGTGCACGGTTACGTACACCCTCCCCACGCTCCACGCCGAGCGAGACAACTGCGATCCGCGTTTGCGTGCACACTTAACGCGACTCCGGCTCATCGCGCTCGGGCAGCTAGTTTACTTGTAAGGCAAGGCGTGTACGTGTTTTCTTTTATTGATGTCGTTACATTTTACACAACAGGCGTAATGCCGGTTTGAAGGCATCAACGTAACCGGGCGGGTGGGCGGGCGGGCCGGGGGGGGGGAGGAACCGGTAGATTTATCACACTCGTCACAGGAGCTCTGTTTCATGCACTGGGTTGGGTCGGGAGTCCGAGGCGCCACGGCAGTCGTCCTCCCCGCCGCAGTTCGTGTCAGAGTCTCGGCCGACCTTCGAACGCGGCTCAACATTTCCGAGGTCTCCTTCTGCCTGGAAATCGTCGGGGGGCTTGTCGCCCGCTTCGGCTCGCCTTCGGTACGAGCCGTCGCCGCTGTTCTCGCCGTGGCTTTTGGGCACGCGGGTCAGCAGCATGGTGTTGAAGCACGGGAAGCCGACGCTCTCCACCTTCTGGTACATCTTGACGTCCCCCGGCAGCAGCTCGCCCTCCTTGAATCGGCCGAAGATGACGACGAAGATGCCGAACATGGTGAAGGCCAGCAGGCTGGGCAGGAAGGCGAGGCATTTGGTGGAGAGGCCGGTGTCCACGAACTTGCTGAACATGAACAGGTCACCCTGGGTATACGTGCGGTTAGTGTCTGGGTTGACGTGTGCGGTGCGCCACTCCCAGGTGAAGGTGCTCGCGTTGAAGGCTTTGAAGTGGCTTACGTTGGTCACCGTGTAGATGTTGAGGCTCGGGGAGAGGTACTGGCCGTATTCGTAGGGTTTGTAGAAGATCTGATTCTTCCACATGTTCAGGTCCAAGATGAGCACCAGTATGATGACTGCCGTAGTTGAACCATTTGCCTGATACCACGAGAAAAGTCGCGTGAGATTGTTTTTTTTTACTTGCGTTTACATTTAGCATAATTCAGTTGAAATGCACTGCATACAAACTCGTGTGTGAAGCAGTATGGGTAAACGTTTATAAAATCAGAAATCTGTTCTGCGTCTTCGCACGTAAATAAAAATGTGTTTATGTCCATCGGCCTATTGGCTTTCCAGACCAATATTATCCAGTAGCATTTGTTTAAGCAAGCCAAATTTATACATGTTGGTCCTGCGGAGACCCATCAGCAGGGTCAGGCTTATTAAATAAATGGTACTGGGTTCCCAGATGTTATTGGTAAGCACACTCCATCTCATCTTTGGGACCCTGTTCAATGCAAAATATATATATATATAGTATGCATTATGCATTACTGTGGGGCATTATGGATAAACACACTTCTTAATCATATCATCATGATAAAAAAATATTTTGTTAAAATTACAAAAATCATTTCTGGGAACAATTACAATAAAATCTGTTGAAATCAAGTGTGCTCTCCAGTTAATTAACATTGGCTCCCGTGTGTGTTATTGTAATGCTCCTTCACTCCGCTGCCCATGAGCACACAGTTACCCGTGATGTGGATGTGGTAAACCTCTTTGAAGATGCATCTTGGCAGCTGTAGCTGAATGTGGGAGGTGTGGAGGCCAGGCAGCTTCACGTCCATCGCTCCAATAAAATGAGGGAACTCCCAATCCTAACGGGGGGGGGGGGGGGGATGGGGGCATATATAGTGAACATCAACAATGTGTACGGATGTGCATATTTTTTATGTTTCATTTCACACATTGCAATTACGCGTATATTTACAAGCAACCAGCCAAATCACCCAGATTGCTCCTGGTCTCGATAGATCTGGGAGGATACGCGGGGTTGAGCATGGATACTGTCTGGATGGGCTACTGCTGTGCATAATAAGTAGTGCTGGCTGCTGCGGAGTTGTATGGTGGGCAACGGAGCCAGTGCAGCAATCTCCATTCTGATATTGAACATCGATGCCCCCAAAGACTATGATACAGTAAAACCTTGGATTGCGAGCATAATTCGTTCCGGAAACATGTTTGTAATCCAAAGCACTCGTATATCAAAGCACTCGTATATCAGTTGTGAACACGTGACGCTCGGCAGACAAAGCGTATACACGTACTACTCGTATTGTAAGACCTCGCTCGTTAATCAAATTAATATTTATAAAAAAAATTTGCTCGTCTTGCAAAACACTCGCAGACCAAGTTACTCGCAATCCAAGGTTTTACTGTACTTGCCTTCCCTATCCTGCACTGACTAGTGTTGTAAAGTATGGTTAAATAACCACCCCCCCCACGACCCGCACAGCAACGGAAGGCCCTCATCCAGCAGTGGGCTGTACATATACAAATTAACAACTAACAATGTGCCGGGCAAGTGGTGATGCAACCTTGTAATCGAGCACTGTGCAGGCATTGATTGCTGGATCAGAATAATGCTTTGCAGCTCCCTTCCCGTGGGCATCATGGTGCCATACCCTGGCTTGCCAGGAGGATGCAGTACAGCAAGTGAGGACTCCACGTGTTCCGTATGTATGGGACAGAGCGTTTCCCACCTCACACAACTCGTGGGTTTTTCTCCACGTGCTTCAGATTCCTCCCACATGTAAACGTTCACGGGTTGTCCGACAACAATTTCATGATAGAGGGTGGCAGATCTTGGGGTTTTGTTGGTGCCGGCTCATTGCACGGCTGCCTCCCCACGTATCTGTGGTTCCTCGCTCCTCTGAGCCATTCCCTCTCTCTCTCTATGAGAGAGAGCAAATATTGTGTGGTGCGTGAAAAGTCGAAGAGAAAAAATACACTGTTAGATGAACGATTCTTTATGTCACTGTCCTGTGTACATGAAGGGCACGAGCATTGCAGTTCATCTCACAGTGTGTCAAATTACAATCATTCTAACAATGCCAATTATTTATCCACGGTAGGCTCAATGATTCCCAAGACTAGTTTTATGGGGTAGTCCCACATTGGAATGTTTGGCCAGATCCATGAATGAGCGCTTGGCGGAAACTTACATATATGAGGGGCAAACATTCAGCATTAATATATCCTGGCTAATTCACATGCCCAGGCCTTCAAAACCTGGTACATCCAGGCAGTATCATATTCAAGTACAAAGCAGGCTCAAACCTGCTTGGCTTCTGAGATGCAATAGCATGCGGTGTGTTCTAGGGGATTTGGTTGGAGGCACGCTTAGTTAACTTCATCACTCAATATCCTCCTTGTGCATTCCAATTTTAGGATATAATTACCTTAATAGGATTTCTCCAGGATGTATAAATACATTAAATAAATAAATAAAACTGACAATATTTAAATTTGATTAATTGTGATTGAATCGCATTAGTTTATTTGAAATTAATCAAATAAATACGCATGATAGCTCAACAACAATATTTTTTTGTATCATAACGGCCCACAGACCGGGTTTATCAAAGTGGTAAACGGTGGCTTCAGACTGCATTTAGTAGTTGTGAAAAAATCTGAATGAATCTCAAGGGTTTTTTTACCTTGTTAAATAAAGGTGAAATAAATGAATAAAAACTTTTTTTTTTCAAAGTAATTTACGGCCTTCTGTCAATCCAACGCTGGATGAGGGCCTCCCCACGCTGTGCGGGTCATGGGGATTATTTGACCATCACCTTCAGCAGCATAGGGGTCAAAATAGGTTCATGTCACTCACGACCGATTTTAGCCATGGCCCGGAATCCAACTCGGGTTTCCAGGTTCATAGTGCAGAGCGCTAACCACTGCTGCACTGCACTACCCCCACCCCCCACCCCCTTGCACAAACTTATATAATTGGGGAATGCAAAAAAAAAACACGAGTGGATAACAAGCAAAGTAAATTTGTTCAACTAAGTATTAATATGAATTATAATGGCCTTACACAGATGAACTTTAACAGCAAGTTTAAATAAACAGTGGAAACAGAATGACATTTTAAATGGTGCTAAAAGTCAAATCGACTCGTCTTAAATTTTTTTTATTTTAAATGCAGCTTTCCTTCTGATCTGCAGCCAGCAATCAGATCTCAAACCAAGCATGGGAAATGGCTGATTGGCTCTTGCTCCGTGACATTCTAATATATGAGCGTGAGATGCACTCGGAATATGTCTCCCTCAGCATGAACCGACGCACAAAGGTCTCTGAGATGTCAACGACTATTGAGCACTCGAAGGTGCATAAGTGACTGTAATGGATTTTAAATATCAATCTGGAGCTAGCCACGATGGCAGTCACTGTTAAGGCTGATCAAGCAGGCTTAGCATGTGCACTGCATTGCTTTGACGTGTGTCATTTTTTGCTGCGATGGTGATATCAAATTACAGTATGGGGGAGAATTTCGAATTGGGGAAAAGCAACCGTAGCAGTCACAAAAATGTACCTTAACTTCACAAAAAAAAACCTCGACACGTTTGTCAATGTGTTTTGTTCTTCGTGTTATTTTTGTGAGTTTGTTGTTTTACCTGTGCTTGTGCACAACTGCCAATGCAGTATCACCAACTAATTCGTTTGCTTTACAAAGCACTGTAGATAATCTTTTGGGGGGGGTTTGGTTCAAGTAAGTGCCATGTATTTGAATATTTTATTTTAGATAGTTCACAATGTTGGATAACAAGTACAGGGCCTACGTTAAACACGTGTCTAACTTGCAACAAACAGGACAGAAATTTGTTGACGCAATTAATATTTTTTGGAGTGAATGCATTTTCGATGCGCGTGAAAGATTTCATCCCACGGCGGTCGGCGATAATGGAGAAGTAGACAATAAAAATAGCGCTTTCTTGAGAAAAAAATGTAATGTTTGGAAAGCTCTAAGATACTCGAATTATTTGAATACGAACAGGGCAATAATTTGTTTTTATTAAGACAAGTTGAATCATTAAACGTGACACTTTTCTTAATGGAACACCAAATAGCATGCAATAAATAGGCAAAATCTAAATGTGCAGCCCTGTAATTGCTACATCATGCCAAATCCAGCAGGCAGAAAGGCCTCAAGCGGAGAGAGTGCGGGAGAGGTCCACTAGACGGTATTTTGGGCTTCTTTTTCACAATGGCCAGATCTATGGAGAGCGGTGGCAGTACCCATTAACACACCACACGTGACCTGCCAGTCGACTAACCGTGATGGTACCCGCTTGTACACCGTGCACACAAGAGGCATGGAAGAACTGCCCCAATTGTTTCAACTATCACGCACCGGAGGGGGGGGGGGAGCGGGCGGTGGTGACCTCTGGATTGCAAGTCCGTTGCGCTAAAACATTACCGCCACCAAAGTGCCCGCGGCGTTCGTTCAATACATCACAAGAGGTTTAAACGCTACGGTGTTTAAGTCACGGACGACTGAACCGAATGGCACACGGGGTATCGGCGTGCGCGGCACCTGCATGACGATGAGCAGATCGAAGACGAGGATGAAGGAGGCGAGGAAGGCACGCGACACCTCGTCGCTCGGGAGGAAGCCGTGGTTGATGGCGTCCCAGCTGATCCAGTCGGTGCACACAACGAGCACCACGAGCGAGGTCAGGCTCAGCCACACCACCCTGCACCACAGCGCACGTCAATGTCAACGCAGCACACGATACAGCACACCATACTACAACACAGCACACCACCCTGCACCACACCACACGTCAACACACCACACGTGTCAACACACGTCAACACACCACACCACACGTCAACACACGTCAACACACCACACCACACGTCAACACACGTCAACACACCACACCACACGTCAACACACGTCAACACACCACACCACACGTCAACACACCACACCACCCTGCAGCACAGCGCACGTCAACACACCACACGATACAGCACACCATACTACAACACAGCACACCACCCTGCACCACACCACACGTCAACACACGTCAACACACCACACCACACGTCAACACACCACAGCACACGTCAACACACGTCAACACACGTCAACACACACCACAGCACACGTCAACACACGTCAACACACGTCAACACACCACACCACACGTCAACACACCACAGCACACGTCAACACACGTCAACACACGTCAACACACCACACCACACGTCAACACACGTCAACACACCACACCACACGTCAACACACCACAGCACACGTCAACACACGTCAACACACGTCAACACACCACACCACACGTCAACACACGTCAACACACGTCAACACACCACAGCACACGTCAACACACGTCAACACACCACAGCACACGTCAACACACCACAGCACACGTCAACACACGTCAACACACGTCAATACACCACACCACACGTCAACACACGTCAACACACGTCAACACACGTCAACACACCACAGCACACGTCAACACACTTCAACACACGTCAACACACCACAGCACACGTCAACACACCACACCACACGTCAACACACGTCAACACACGTCAACACACCACACCACACGTCAACACACGTCAACACACCACACCACACGTCAACACACCACAGCACACGCCAACACACGTCAACACACGTCAACACACCACACGATACAGCACACCACCCTGCAGCACACCACACGTCAACACACGTCAACACACGTCAACACACGTCAACGCAGCATACTACAACACACCACAACATACTACAACACACGTCAACACACGTCAACACCCCACACTATACACCCACCAACACAGCACCCAACACTATACACCCACCAACACAGCACACCACACTATACACCCACCAACACAGCACACCTGACACTATACACCCACCAACACAGCACACCTGACACTATACACCCACCAACACAGCACACCTGACACCACTGAACATACGAAGAAGAGACAGCCCACACACCGCTCTGGAAAGAATCACACCCATCAACACCAGACAGACACCGACAGCACAATAGCCAGCGCTCTACCCATCCATCTTACCGCGGCATCCACCCAGGCAGCACAGCCGGCATTAACCCCGCGTGCTAATCAAGTGAATGCACGAGCGAATCGACTCTTAACATTGGGAACACCTGAAACACGTGGAGGGGAGTGCCGTGAGCCTGTTCAATAAACAACTCGTGTGGTTCCGACCCACAGCAAGAAGCCCCCCCCCAAAAAAATGCTGGGGTTTGAAAAACTATTTCATGGGCTGTGTTTGTGCTCCACAAATATATTAGGTTGTGGTTGAAATAAAGAAAAAAAATATATAATGAATTTATTTTAGTTTTGTCCGCACTAAAAGCAAAGTTGTGGAGAGCACTCGGCCATGTGAGGCTGGCGAGACGTTTGTGTGTGTGCCCTGGGAATGTTAACGCGCTTTGGTCCTCCTATAGCTCCGATGTTACTATTTTTTTTACTTAACAGGTAAGAGAACACTGAGCTTCTAAATAGCTCTTTCTCATAAAATGATTGCCCAACCAAGTTGATCATCATGTTGAACATAGGTTGTCATGGGCGATCAGCTGGATGAAAATCCAGGTCCTCAACGGTGTTGGCCTTTGCATTATTGGGCGACATCTAACAAGCAAAATAGTTCAGAAGAATAAAACCCCACAATGGACAACAGGCGTGTACACATCTACGAACACAGCAGCACCTTGATCACGATTTAAAAAAGCATGCAGTTGCAACACCACACCAAAAAGATCATTGAAAAATAAACGAAGCATGGGAGGTAGGTTAGGTTGCAAATATAACAGAGGCAAAGGTGCAGCCACTTTCTCCATCCACTACTGGCAGAAGGAACCTCGAATAAAAGAGGGCCTATTTTTCCATGCTGGCCGGAGTTTTTTTGGAGACGTGGGTGTTGCCCACACTTTTCCCCACCATACACGGCCCTGCCTAGCGACTAACTGCTGCCTGTCGCTCATTTGTTTCTGCTCGTTGGACAGAGACGGTGGCGATTTCAAGACACCTGCACGCCGCCGGAAGACGAAATCGAGCAGGCGTCATCTGCATTGCAAGCCCAGTGGCACGAACCGTTACAACCGCGCGGCGGTGAAAATAATATCCAGCAAAAAACCCGCACAAAAAAGCCAACAATAAGGCCATAGGCGAGCCCATTGACTGCGTGGGACAGCTGAGCTTGACACCTCTGCGCTGACGGATTGTTGCTTAGGGGCTCGGAGCCGTATGCACTCGGCTGCCCACGCGGTGTGGTGCGGAGTGGACGTTGTGCCCAGAGCACGAATCCCTGGGAACGCGTTGGTGCACTCTGTCAGCTCGCATCCCCCCATTGCAAGGTGGGGGGGGACTGGGGGGGGGGTCATTTACCTCCACTCTTCTCCCATAGCACGTGTGTTCTATTTTTCGATTTAAAACTTTCGTGACTGCAGGGATTCATCTTCTTGGTTCTTTCGGTAAAGTCACGTAGAAGGGAAGTAATAAAATAATAAAAATTAAACATAATAAAATAATTAACGTCGTGAGAATTATTTTATTATTTTTATTATTTTATTACTTCCCTTCTACGTGACTTTACCGAAATAACCAAGAAGACACGTGTGTTCTGTTCTAAAACTCTGCTGTACGTGTGTATGTTGAACTTCTTTTGCACCGTACGTAGCCAACTGTGCTAATAGGAGGTGCGGGCGAGGGGGAGGAACTAAACACGAACAGCGGTTCAGAATTAATGAGTTTGTCGATTTGGATGATTTAAAAGTGCACAGCTCCAGCGGATTCCTCATATCGGACGGAAGAGCGTCACAGACGGCCGTAGAAGGGCATCTGAAAGCATCTTGACAAGGACGGCGACCGCCTCAGATGAGATCCGGATGGTAGAAACCGGTCCAGAGTTTGTTCGCTTAAACAAATGTTTCCGGATATGTTTGGTTTGGAAGCGAAAAAGGTCGATGACCAAAGCAAGTTTTATTTGTATGTCGACGGAGGTCTGTTTAAGCAAGTTATTGTTAGACAACTGCATTTTATTATACATCATTTCAAAAAAAAATCCTCATTACTGCGTAGGTTAAGGAATATTTTTTAAGTTTCGGCCAAATGGCCTTCTTTTACATCTTGTGTAATACCGACTATAATCACACAGGAATGTCTGTCCTTAACGCTCGTGACGTCACTCCACATCGACCAGCCCCCCTCATTAATATTCATGAGCAGGTGACGTCATCCAAATGGACACCCCCCCCCCATTCATAATAATTAGCGGGTGACGTCACTCCACATGGGGGGGTGAGGCGCCTCCTCCCCGCTCCTCGGCGTCAACTCACAACCCTCACCACAAAGGCAGAACCCTCACGTCACGCGATCTCCGTCACGCTGTTGAGACATCGAAGTAAAAAGGACGTCATGATGAACAAGGGATTATAACCTTGACATGAAATAAGTCTGTGTCACCGCGGCCTTACAAATTGCACACGAATTGATGCAATGAATATCAAGTCGCGGTTTTCTTGGGCTATGCCGCTACGCCCATCTCTAAACCTTTATAAACAATTTGCCTTTAGAGGCTAACCCCTCTTTTCCTCATGATGACCGCTTGTGTTGCAATCGAAACGTCGTGGGTTTTTTTTGTTTCTTTTTATTACTGAAAGAACCAAGAATAGGTATACATTATAGACTGCCAGTACAATCACCGAGGTTAAGAACCAAGCTACAGTCTTCATTATAGACTGCCAGTATGCTCACCCAGGTTAAGAACCAGGATACATTCTACGTTATAGACTGCAATTACACTCACCCAGGTTAATAACCAGGCTACAGTCTACATTATAGACTGCCAGTATGCTCACCCAGGTTAATAACCAGGCTACAGTCTACATTATAGACTGACATTACGCTCACCAAACGTAATAACCAGGCTACAGTCTACATTATAGACTGCCAGTACACTCACTCCGATTAAGAACCAGGCTACAGTCTACATTAGTGTTTTTTTGTATCAACTTTATTTTTTATTTATTTTTTTATATCTACGTGACTTTACCGAAAGAAACAAACAATATGAATCCGAATATTAACTTTTCGGAATGCATTATTGATCTGACAATACCATTTAACCCGACCTCGCCTCCCACGACAATCTATATTTCCTGAAGGCCAGTCAGATAAAATGCCAAGCACTTCCTTTTCTACTGCGTAGGATCTTCGCGCTCCCGCTTGAAAAGCATGACGAGTTTCACTCCACGCACTGGGAGCTTCTTCTTCTTCTGGAAGCTGGCGGTACAACCTGAAAACACATTCGAAAAAAAAACCCCTAAAAAATTAACCCGTAAAAACAAAGTTTTTCACTCTAAATCCTCTGGCTTGAGATGACTGCCACCTATGGGTCAGATGATTGTCTGCCAGCATTAAGCAATTGGTAATTAAATATTTTTAAAAAATTCCCTAAACAGTGTAAAATTTTTGAAAAACATTTTCACGAAAATTAATTGTCACGCACAACGAGTCTGTGTGGAAAATGTCAGCTCGATTGGATCACGGGAAGTGGGTTAAAAAACGACCGAAAGATTTGCACGGTCGTAAGCAAGCAAGCAAGCACGCAAGCACGCAAGCAAGCGAACTTAATATAAAGGATTTAAAAATGATGTATTATGGGCCGTTATGGATAATG